CTCACTCGCCTGTCTGTCTCTCTCTCACCTGTCTCTCTCTAGCCTTTCTGTCTCTCTCTCACCTGTCTCTCATCGCCTGTCTGTCTCTCTCTCTCACCTGTCTCTCTCGCCTGTCTGTCTCTCTCGCCTGTCTGTCTCTCTCTCACCTGTCTCTCTCTCGCCTGTCTGTCTCTCTCTCACCGTCTCCTCACCTGTCTCTCACTCGCCTGTCTGTCTCTCTCCCTCACCTGTCTCTCTCTCGCCTGTCTGTCTCTCTCTCACCTGTCTCTCTCTCGCCTGTCTGTCTCTCTCTCGCCTGTCTGTCTCTCCCTCACCTGTCTCTCTCTCGCCTGTCTGTCTCTCTCTCACCTGTCTCTCTCTCGCCTGTCTGTCTCTCTCTCACCTGTCTCTCACTCGCCTGTCTGTCTCTCTCTCTCACCTGTCTCTCTCGCCTGTCTGTCTCTCTCTCACCTGTCTCTCTCTCGCCTGTCTGTCTCTCTCTCACCTGTCTCTCTCTCGCCTGTCTCTCACTCGCCTGTCTGTCTCTCTCTCTCACCTGTCTCTCTCGCCTGTCTGTCTCTCTCTCACCTGTCTCTCTCTCGCCTGTCTCTCACTCGCCTGTCCTGTCTCTCTCTCTCACCTGTCTCTCTCGCCTGTCTGTCTCTCTCTCACCTGTCTCTCTTCTCGCCTGTCTGTCTCTCTCTCACCTGTCTCTCTCTCACCTTTCTGTCTCTCAGGTGTTCCAGGTGTTCAGGCGTTTATGATGGTCCGGCCTTAAAGCTCTCAGCAGGTCTGACCGGATGTCCCGCCTCAGCACTACATTACCCAGAATGCACCTGTCAGGAGCTGTGACCCCCATTTCAGTTTTATTTATTTAGCTGGAGGTTTTTCAGAATGAAAGCACGGTACCAATGTTAGCTTCATGCTAACTCAGCCTGAGTCTGGACAGGAAACGGAAACAAAGAAATAAAACTCTTTAAAAAGTTTCATTGTGTCTTTTATTGTGAAAAGGTTTTATTGTGTGTGTGTGTGTGTGTGTGTGTGTGTGTGTGTGTGTGTGTGTGTGTGTGTGTGTGTGTGTGTGTGTGTGTGTGTGTGTGTGTGTGTGTGTGTGTGTGTGTGTGTGTGTGTGTGTGTGGTGTGTGTGTGTGTGTGTGTGTGTGTGTGTGTGTGTGTGTGTGTGTGTGTGTGTGTGTGTGTGTGTGTGTGTGTGTGTGTGTGTGTGTGTGTGTGTGTGTGTGTGTGTGTGTGTGTGTGTGTATATAGAGGTCTTCGTCTCTGAGTGTGAAGAAGAAGAAACACAGGCAGAACACCTGGAATATACACAGGTATAATAAGAATAAACTTAACTTAACAGTATGAATAGTAATAAAGAAGAAACTAAAACATATACAGATATGTGGGGTTATATTTAAATGTGCAGGTTATACCTGTATAGAGTGGCGAAGTCACGCCCATCTACTTCCGTCCCATGGGACCTTATTTCGGAAAAATTATGTATTGAAGTCAATGGAGAGAGAAAACGTATCTTTCGATCCCGTTTGAATTGTGCCATGAATTACACATATGATGTTTGTCAATCTTAAAAAATCATTTCCATGTCAAAAAAGTCACAGTTTGTCGTAAAACTGTTGAAATATAAGACTATGAAAAATACGTAACTAGAAAGACTACAAATCCCAGAGTCGCGTAACTGATGTCACAATTGTTTTCCTCCACTAGGTAAGCGATAGCTAAGATAAGATAACTTTAACAAGATGCCTGTGTGCTTAGTACCAGGTTGTTATCATACCAGCAATGGGTCTTGCTCGTTCTTTCTCTTCCCGTCTGATGAAAGGACCAGGAGTGGCTCGATCAAGTTAGCTACCTAGCTAGTAGCAAGCACGTTAGGTAGCATTACAGCCTTAGCCTTGTCATTTGTATCAGCCTTAACATGAAGTAACAGTAACCCAACATGTTAAACAGTAAGAGTAGTAGTCATATTTCGTGAACCCTTTGAAGAGTACTGTCACACCAGTGTGATCATTCTATAATACACTGCACACATGCTATCTGCACAAATGGTTGACATTAAACATTAAAAAGATCAGGCAGTTCAGAGAGAATCAAAGGAAGGCAGGCAGGCAGCTTTGCATGACTTTCTTCTGGACGTGTTTCATTGTGGTGATAGTGAGGGGAGTCAAGACAGTAGTGACGGCCATCTTGGTGACGTGTGTTGTTGTGCGAGACCAGAGATGTAGTTCATTGAGCGTTTCACACAAAAGGGGTTTTTTTTACTTGCAAAATTATCTTTTAAATTGACAAACATCATATGTGTAATTCGTGGCACAATTCAAACGGGATCGAAAGATAATCTTTCTCTCTCCATTGACTTCAATACATAACTTTTCCGAAATAAGGTCCCATGGAGCTCAACCGGAAGGGGAGGGACTTCGCCACTCTATAGAGACGGAGGGTGTTTCTCAATCGCAAGTACGCTTGCTTGGTAGCACATGTCTGCCGAGCATCTTGCTTCAGAAGCGAGTCAAGAATACTTCCTGGCATTCGGAAAACAAAGAGTGGAACAGGCTAGCAAGTGTGCAGGTGTGCGTCATATGAGTTCCCGCCTTACATCTTCCGCCACAGATTTGGGGAAATTGGTCCGTGCGCAAAGCATTGTGGGGATTTTAAGACCGCGGAGTCTACACATGTGCAGCCTCGATATTTCTCCAAACAGAGTACGCCGGGCTCAGTAGATTTCCAAGTATGCTGGAGATTGGAACAGTACTTCGGCGGCACTCGATGACGTAGTATGCTTGAAATAGTGGCTCTGCAGCAGCTTTACTCGCGATTGAGAAACACCCACACTCACACACATGTCACTCACACACATGTCAAAAAAGTCACAATTTGTCGTAAAATTGTTGAAATATAAGACTATGAAAAATACGCAACTCGAAAGACTACAAATCCCAGAATCCCGGTCCCGCATGCTGGATCTTACGGAACCGACTAACTCCCCTTGTGTGTATGTACAGCTCTCAACATGCCCGGACTTGTAGTGATGTTCACCTCTTTTAATACTTTCCGCCTCATTCTGAAAGAACTGAAATGTGCTAACATGACGGCCGTCTTGGTGTGTGGTGCGAGACGGGAGATGTAGTTCATTGAGCGGTTTCACACAAAAAAAGTGTTACTTCACAGTTTTACGACACATTTGTATTTTTTTTACTTGTAAAATTATCTTTTAAATTGACAAACATCATATGTGTAATTCGTGGCACAATTCAAACGGGATCGAAAGATAATCTTTCTCTCTCCATTGACTTCAATGCATAACTTTTCCGAAATAAGGTCCCATGGAGCTCAACCGGAAGGGAGAAGTTCTGCAGTTCCCACTGTGGCCTGCAGTGGCGCTGACGAGCTCTGACTACTTCCGGTAGAGTAGAAGAAGAGGCCGGCGGTAATGCTAGCATTAGCTTCAGCGGTTTACACCACAGACTGAGTTAATCTAAAATATAATAATAATATAAATACACATAAAGGTCTCAGGTGTAGTGATTCACAGTGCGGATACACAGCTTTACTCTCAGGGTTTAATGTTTGACGCTGAGAACGAACTACCAGCAGGTGAGTGAAGCTAATGCTAACTGTGATGCTAACTGTGAAGCTAACTGCTAATCAGTGAAAGTAAGCTAAACTAAAATAGTTAATTCTAAATATATAATAACGGGATCTGTCCCGCACAATAAACTCGTGCTTACGTGTGTGTGTGTGTGTGTGTGTGTGTGTGGTGTGTGTGGTGTGTGTGTGTGTGTGTGTGTGTGTGTGTGTGTGTGTGTGTGTGTGTGTGTGTGTGTGTGTGTGTGTGTGTGTGTGTGTGTGTGTGTGTGTGTGTGTGTGTGTGTGTGTGTGTGTGTGTGTGTGTGTGTGTGTGTGTGTATAGAGGTCTTCGTCTCTGACATGAGCAGCCCTGTAAGTCTTCTTCTCTTTATTTTGACCTCATTAAAATCAGTCTTTCTGGTCAGAGGCGTTAAGTTAGTGTGTAGTAATGTGAGTGTGTTGTGTAGTAATGTTAGTGTGTAGTAAAGTTTGTGTGTAGTAAAGTTCGTGTGTAGTAAAGTTAGTGTGTAGTAAAGTTTGTGTGTTGTAAAGTTAGTGTGTAGTAATGTTAGTGTGTAGTAATGTTAGTGTGTAGTAATGTTAGTGTGTTGTAATGTTAGTGTGTAGTAAAGTTTGTGTGTAGTAATGTTAGTGTGTTGTAATGTTAGTGTGTAGTAATGTTAGTGTGTTGTAATGTTAGTGTGTAGTAATGTTAGTGTGTTGTAATGTTAGTGTGTAGTAATGTTAGTGTGTACTAATGTTGCTGTGTTTTGTGTGTGCGCGCAGCAGAGGAAGAGAAGAGGAACAGGAAGTGCTCCGGTTCCCAGACTCCGCACCAAGACCGCCAGACGAGCTAACGCTAGGATAGCATCTAACACTAACAGTGTGGCGAACAGAGAAGCTAGCAGAGAAGCTAGCAGAGAAGCTAGCATAGCAGCGGAGGTTAGCAGGTCTGATGGTGAAGCTACCCCCACGACTGAGACCATCGACGTGATGGAGGACGGTGAGAAACTACACATTATATCATGATACATCTTTATTATATCATGATACATCTTTATTATATCATGATACATCTACATTATATCATGATACATCTACATTATATCATGACACATCTTTATTATATCATGATACATCTTTATTATATCATGACACATCTTTATTATATCATGACACATCTTTATTATATCATGATACATCTTTATTATATCATGACACATCTTTATTATATCATGACACATCTTTATTATATCATGATACATCTACATTATATCATGACACATCTTTATTATATCATGATACATCTTTATTATATCATGACACATCTTTATTATATCATGATACATCTTTATTATATCATGACACATCTTTATTATATCATGACACATCTACATTATATCATGATACATCTACATTGTATCATGTACATCTACATT